TGTTTTCTTTAAGAGATTGTAGTCCTGTACCAGGTAAGTGAAGCTAGGGCTGATTGTTAGCACTTACCCTCTTGGGAGGTGAATTTGTAGTGCAAGTTGGTGAGTGAAAAAAGGTTGTACAGCCTTTAAAAAAGTATGAATAATTTATATAATTAAGGTTTAATGTTTATTTCTTCATTTGAAGTATGCTTTTGTTCATTAGTCAATCCTCAGTGGATAGCATAATGTCTAGCTGTAGAAACTGGAAATTATTTGATGTATAGTTGAGTGAATGAATAGATAATATAAAGCTTTATATTATCTTGGAAACTGAGAACACTGGATTCCATTTGACTCAACGGATTCTTCCAGCTCCAGTATCTACTCTTTTCTCCTGCATTATCCTCAAGGAAATGTTTAAGTCTGAACCCTCACTCTACTTTACCTGTAGTTCACTGGGGTATAAGGAAGTCTGAGATCCACATAGAAAATCATAGTTATAACCTTTCACCATATACAAAATTGAACTTGAGATTGGTTAAATATTTTAATGTAAGACCTCAAACAATAAGAATCCCAAAAGAAAACCTAGGAAACACCATTGTGGACACTGGCCTTGAAAAAGAATTTATGACTTAAATCCTCAAAAACAATAGCAACAAAAACAAAAATTGATGAGCGGGACCTAATTAAACTAAAGGGCTTCTGCACAGCAAAAGAAACAATCAATAGGGTGGACAGGCAAACCACATAATGGGAGAAAATATTCACAACCTACACATCCAATTAAGTTATAATATCCAGAATCTCTAAGTCAAACAATTCAACAAGCACGAAACAAATTCTCCGTTAAGAAGTAGACAAAAGACATGAACAGACACTTCTAAAAAGAAGACACAAGCAGCCAACAAACATATGAAAAAATGCTCAACATCATTCATTAATCATTAAAGAAATGCAAATCAAAACCACATTAAGATACCATCTTAAACCAGTCAGAATGGGTATTATTAAAAAGGCTGAGTGGCCGGGTGTGGTGGCTCAAGCCTGTAATCCCAGCACTTTGGGAGGCCGAGGCGGGTGGATCACGAGGTCGAGAGATCGAGACCATCCTGGTCAACATGGTGAAACCCCGTCTCTACTAAAAAAAAAAAATACAAAAAACTAGCTGGGTATGGTGGCGCGTGCCTGTAATCCCAGCTACTCAGGAGGCTGAGGCAGGAGAATTGCCTGAACCCAGGAGGCGGAGGTTGCGGTGAGCCGAGATCGTGCCATTGCACTCCAGCCTGGGTCACAAGAGCGAAACTCCATTTCAAAAAAAAAAAAAAAAAAAAAAAAGGCTGAGTGTGGTGGTTCACGCCTGTAATCCCAGTACTTTGGGAGGCTAAGGCGGGTGGATTATAAGGTCAAGAGATTGAGATTATCCTGTTCAACGTGGTGAAATCCTGTCTCTAATAAAAATACAAAAATTAGCTGGATGTGGTGGTGCCCACCTGTAGTCCCCGCTACTTGGAAGGCTGAGGCAGGAGAATCACTTGAACCTGGGAGGTGGAGGTTGCAGTGAGCCGAGATCATGCTACTGCACTCCAACCTGGGTGACAGAGCGAGACTCCATCCCCCCGCCCCCCCCCAAAAAAAAGGAAGAGAGAAAAGTCAAGAATAGTATTGGCTCTTAAATGCTATGTATAATTTTGTTTTTTTAAAGGGAGATATACTCAGATACAAACATAAGGATGGTCATTGTTAGAATGCATGAACTATTTTTGAGGGTATAAATCAATGATATTGTTATTAGGAGGGCATGGCTGCTTTTCTTAATTTCTCAAAAGTTAGACTGTATTACAACCTTTCTAGTTTCCTTTAATAACTCCTATTGATTCTAAAATGTTATCGAAACACTTTCATTACATTTTCATTCTTTTCTACCTCTAGAGACAATAAGTTTCATTAGTTTTGTAGCCTTAAATTTGCTTATTTCATAGTTATGTTTTAGTTTTATGTAATTGGGCTAAAAATTATGCATTCACCCAATCCATACCTTTTCTGATAATCAAGATTGGATGCAGCAATTCCTACAACAACGGTAAGAGATTGTAGAATGTAGTTTTAGGTATATGTGTGGCTATTGTATATGTATTATATTTATATTTTGGAAATGAAAATGGGCACATTGTCCTTTAAATGACCCTCTAATATAACACAATTAATTATCATTCTCTTTGATGGAAAATGAATAAAATCAGCAAATATTGTGATGATTTCCAATATTCTTATATAGTAAACTCCATTAGCACTTTTCCCAGAAGGATGCATTGCACATGGTTTAACAAATGTAACATTTAATGATTACAAAACTGTTATAAGGAAAAAAATCTCTCATTCCTCAATTATGAATACTTATAATTTAAAGTTTCTACTAAAGAAGAGTGGGATCTGCTCAGTAGGCCAGTATCAAGCAAAGTATTGAAGTGACAAAAGAATCTTATCACAATCCATCATTTCCCCAAGTAACATAATACAAAAATAGTCAAAATTTTCCTGCTTTCAAACAGTCCACTTAATTGCATGCACAGTTTTCTAAGTCTGCTTGGAAATTAAAAATTAAGTGTAGTAGTTGTGGTGGTGTTTCTAAGTCTACCGTAACATTAACAAAAGAAGAAACATCGGGCCGGGCGCGGTGGTTCACGCCTGTAATCCCAGCACTTTGGGAGGCCGAGGCCGGTGGATCACGAGGTCAAGAGATCGAGACCATCCTGGTCAACATGGTGAAACCCCGTCTCTACTAAAAATACAAAAAATTAGCTGGGCATGGTGGCCTGTGCCTGTAATTCCAGCTACTCAGAAGGCTGAGGCCAGAGAATTGCCTGAACCCAGGAGGCAGATGTTGCAGTGAGCCAAGATTGTGCCATTGCACTCCAGCCTGGGTAACAAGAGAGAAACTCCGTCTCAAAAAAATAAAAATAAAAAAAGAAGAAGAAGAAGAAACATCATAGGTAGAGGGCTAAAAACAGCAAATTTACCAAAAACTTACAGCAATTATAATAATTAATTATGAATTATTGAAAGCCTTACCAATGAGACTAGGCATACACAAAAAAAGTCTACTTACACCACATCTATTCAACATTGTATTGAAGGCCCTAGCCACTTTCTTCCTTTAGAAGGAGAGAATGGAGATTTCATTTTCACAAGGGGTATACTTGGATACACAGATAATCCAAAGAATTTTACAAACTACAAGAATTAAGAAATAGATTTAGCAAGTTTTCTAGGTGCAAGCTCAATATACAAATATTAGTGTATTTTCATATTCTAACCACAATTAGAAAAAGAAATAAAAATAACACAATAATAGAAAAAAAACAAACACAAAGGAATAAATTCAATAAAAGATGTGCAAGACCTCTACAAAAAACCCCAAAAATATTGCCAGGAGAAAGCAGACAGACAAATAGAGATACTAAATGAAAAATTTAATATTTTTGAATATGTTAATTTTGCCCAGTTGAGCTATAGAGCCAATAAAATTGTAATCAAAATCTAAGCATTCGTGTGTGAACTGACAAATTCTTTCTAAAGTTATATGAAAATACAAAAAAGGTAGAACAGCTACAATGATCTTTAAAAATTTTTTTAAATTATTATTATGTTTAATGAGACAGGTGTTGCTATGTTGCCCAGGCTGGTCTCTAAATTCCTGGTCTCAAGTGATCCTCCCTCCTTGGTCTCCCAAAGTGCTGGGATTACAGGCATGAGCCACTGTGCCTGGCCAGCTATAACAGAATTTAAAGTTAGGTTATGTAAATTTGATTTAGGATATTGAAGATTTATAAATATGGGAAAATGTGATCAAAGTAATATTTTTAAAATATTAATTTTACAACAAGACATGCAAAATTAATCATAAGAGGGACAGAGAGGAAGTACAGACACCTACTAGAATATTTGCATGATACCATAGATATGGAGCAATAAATACCTAAATTAGGGTGGTGTCAATGAGTATGCAAAAGGAAGGGTAAACAAATAAGACAATCTTTACAATAAAACCAATAGAATAAGCATTAAAAATTTATGACCAAAAGAAAAATTTACATAGGATTTAACTAGATTATATATAGTCTAGATTCCTGAAGAATAAGAATAAAGAACTAACAACTTTTCAGGGATGGAATATATTGAAGAAATGCTGCAATCCTAAATTAATTTCTACAAGTCAAAATTCACTGCTTTATAATGGTATTATTAAACTTTCATAAATTTGTACAAAGTTCAAATTAAAATAATGTAAATAAAAAGGAACTATAATTTCTTGTTACTCTGTAAAAACAGATCTAATGATTTTGATGCTTATATACTTACACAGAACTATATACACATTATAGAAAAATCAGAATTATCAAATATATAAAAATTTTAAAAAACAGGCAAACCACTCATAATCTTACCACCCAAAAATTACTGTTAATTTTTTTTAACATATAGTACCTTAACGATTTATCCCTAGGAATCTTTACTCTCACATTTTAAATATATTTTAATGGGTGCATACTTTATCTTGATGTTCTGCTTCACATCATGTTCTATTATCATTTTTCTTTGTCAATAAATATACATGTTTCCAAACTGTGGTCTAGAGGAATGGTATTATTTGCTCCTGCATATATACTGTATATTTCCCATTAATTCACTTCCAGCCAGAAGATACGTTTCTGTATATTATCAATTTTTATTTGATACTTAGTGTTATTAATGTATCTGCAAAATAACTTTCCTTTAAAATGTCTTTTAAAGTGTTCCACTTATACTTCTGATTTTAATTTTATTTTGAGACAAGCATATTTTAAAAGACATTTATTTGTATTTGATATTTAAAATCAAATTTGCTTACAGTAAATTTAATAAATGAAATTATACCTAATTACTAAAATTATAAATTTCACATTATAAGGATCATGAAAAAAAGCAATAGATTACTGCAGTGAATTACCAGAAGCCTGAAAAATGCCACTCACGTTTACCTGAGGTAGGAGACTTGCAGCGCTCAAGTTCTAGGGGAACTGGACTGTCATTCAGTTCAGTTAAACCTGAAAATACAATGAAATAAAATAAGATAAATTTTGCTAGCATTTTGTAGGTTATTTTTATTTCTTAATTCCTCTAAGTTTAAAAGGTTTTTTAAAATGTGAAAACTACTTTACCATGTCCAAGCTATGTCAATTATTCTGATTTTTAAAAAATATATTTTTATTAATTATTTTTCTTTTTTATAGAGACAGGGTCTCACTATGTTGCCCAGGCTGGTCTTGAACTCCTGGGCTCAAGCAATCCTCCCATCTCAGCTTCCCAAAGTGTTGGGCTTACAGGTGTGTGCCACCATGCCTGGCCTATTCTGAAAATTTGTTTAAACAAGTGATACAGGAAAAAATAAGACACAGTAACTGATCAACATACAAGAATATTTAAACATGGATGGTACAAAGACATAAAATCCCTTTTTATTATTTTTATAAGAAATAGCTACTTTAATAAGTGACCCAATTTCATTTGAAAATAGATAATAAATAATAAGAATTAGAAGGAATTTTTAAAATACCTAATCAAATATCCTTTCAGGAGATATGGTTTTTGGCTTTTAAAAGGTCTTTAAAAACTACTACAAATTCTAAATTGTATATTTATTTATAAAATGTAGTATTATATATTATGTACTGTATTGTGTTTAATAATATCAAATTCCTTATAAGCACTATATTTTTCTCTTATTTCTAATATTTCTTAATTTTTATTCTGCCACTTTTCTGACAAATACAATAGACACAACAGATTAATAAATATTTTATAATTCTCTCTACTTGCCAATCTATATTTTTATGGCATTTGTAAAATGTTCTTCATTATGGTTTTTCTTCCTTTGTTGGAAAGTCTCACACTTTTTCCTTTGTGAAATAAATATTCATAGTTTCTATTTTAATCTGTCTCCATGCTCAGAAGCACTTGAGAGCTATTTTCAATGACCAAAATCATCTTTGTTCCTATTCCTGCCCATCACCCTCTACTCTATACAATTTGAAGCAATAAGCTTGCTGTAGGTCCATAAAAATCACAGAATTTTGGAACTGAAAGGTGCCTTGTGACAAACTAGTCCAACTCTTGTGTTTTATAAGTGAGAAACTGTTAAGTTCAAAGAGTTTAAACTATTTATTCAAAGTCACAGAAGTAAGTCAATAACAGAGCTTGACTAGGACATAGAACTCACATTTTTATATACTATATTATTCTGCACTCAGATTTCGATTGCTTATAGAGCTCTAAATACCAACTGAAAAGCTTAAGTGTTTGTTCTGTTTCTTACTTCACTGAACATTTTCAAGACTTTCAATTTAATACTCATCCAATTTAAAATTTCTGTTTTATAACATAGTACACATAATATTTACTGATATAAATATTACCATTAATCTGGAAATAGGCATTCATCAAACTAAACTATCTTCAACACAGTCTTAACCTTAGATATAAAAATTAGATAGGAAAAAGTTTTGCTAAATAAGCAATAAATGTTAATCCACAGATTTGCTATAAGAGTTTTCCAGGAACTCCTTGAAAGTGTAGACTTAAACAGGCTGTGTTATCTGACAGCAAATTAGAAACAGCAGGTTATAAACAGGAGGAGAACTCGAAACATTAAGAAAAGTAATGTAGAACAACAGCCAAAGAATGGGCAGAGAAGGGAACTATGACTAGTGAGTGAGTTATCTGGGACCATTTAACAGAGGTGGGGGTTTTGCAGATCTCTGAAAGGCTTTTAAAGACATCACTATAAGTCAAGTCAGTGAATCAAATTTATCGAATGCCTACTGTGCCACACATTCTTTGTAGTTATAGTACTAACAGCAATAAATGTCTATTATTTTGTACCTAATTCTCACTAAATACTTTATATACATTTTTTTCACACCTACCAATACAATGAGAAGGGGTTATAATATTAACCCCACCATACAGATAAGAGGAAAAAAAAGGAACTAAACTGAATATGGATCTAACAATAATAGTAAAACTACTTCCATGTGCCAATTTACAACGTCAAAAACCTAAAGTAGTTTTAGAGTCGTCATCATTAAATACTATACAGTTATTCAAAACAATCATTATTTAAAAATAAACATTTTTTGGACTATAGAAGTAATGCTTTGCCCCTCTAGAAAACTTGGAAGATACAGAAAAGTGATGGGGGGATTTAAAAATACATAATTTCATAATACTTTTGGCTTTTTCCTTCCTTCCTTTTTTTTTTTCCCTTGAGACAGAGTGTCACTCTGTCGCCCAGGCTGAAGTGCAGTGGTGCCATCTTGGCTTGCTGCAACCTCCTCCTCCTGGGTCTCAACCAATTCTCCTGCCTCAGCCTCCTGAGTAGCTGGGATTACAGGCGTGTGCCACCAAGCCTGGCTAATTTTTATATTTTTAGTAGAGACAAGCATTCACCATATTGGACAGGCTGGTCTTGAACCCCTGACCTCAAGTGAGCCACTTGCCTCGGCCCTCAAAGTGCTGGGATTACAGGTGTGAGCCACCACACCTGGCCCCTTCCAGGATGATTTTTAATCCAATAAAGATAGTTTCATATTCTGATTTTTCTAATAACATTTATTTCATAAACAATTCCACCATTTTAAAAAACTTTATAAAATCTTTATAAAAATATACCACACATTTTATCTAACAGTCCTCCACTGTGAAACATTTGGATTTTCTAGTCTTTATCACACCAAATAATGCTGCAATAAATGACTATATGTGAAAATCTTTGATTTATGTTTTGCTTTTAAAGAGTTCCATAATTTCCACTATGGTATGATAGGGGCTGTTCATTTTGCATTCTCTCTAGCAACTTACAGGAGTTCCAATTGCTCAATATCTCCACCAACACTGGGTTTTAAATTAAAATTTTAGTCCTTCTGGTCATAGTAATATCTTATTATGATTTTAATTTAAATTTCCCTGATGATTATTGATAGTTGGAACATTTTCATGTGCTTATTGGCTAATCATATATCTTCATGATCCTATCCCAATCTTTGGTTTCTTTTTTATGTTGCACTGCTTATATTTGTGTTATGTTGTAATAAGAATTCTTCATATATTTTAGGTAAGAATTATTTGTCAAAAATAGGCATTGTGAATATTTTCCTTCAGTATGTAATTTATCTTTTAATTTTCTTAATGGTGTCATTCTTTTTTTTCAGACAGTGTTGTTGCCCAGGGTTCAAGTGATTCTCCTGCTTCAGCCTCCCAAGTAGCTGGAATTACAGGTGTAATTACGTGGTGTAATGCCACCATGCCTGGCTAATTTTTGTACTTTTTAGTAGAGACATGGTTTCTTGGCCTTGGCCTCCAAAGGCACTAGGATTACAGGCATAAGCCACCACGCCTGGCCTCTTAATGGTGTCTTTTGATAAGCAGAAATTTAATTCACTTGAAGAACAATTTATAATAATTATTATTATTTCTTTTCAGATGGAGTCTTGCTCTGTCGCCCAGGCTGGAGTGCAATGGTGCCATCTTGGCTCACTGCAACCTCCGACTCCCCGGTTGAAATGATTCTCCTGCCTCAGCCTCCCGAGTAACTGGGATTACAGGCATGTGTCACCACACCCAGCTAAGTTTTTGCATTGTTAGTAGAGACAGGATTTTACCATGTTGGCCAGGATGGTCTTGGTCTCTTGACTTCATGATCTGCCTGCCTCAGCCTCCCAAAGTCCTGGGATTGTAGGCGTGAGACACCGCACCCAGCCAATTTATTATTTTTGAATTGTGATTTCTTTATGATTCCTAAGTAGTGGGTGCCAAACCTATGGTCATGAAGATGCTATTCTTTGGTTTTCTTCAAGAACTTTAAAAATGATTGATTGTGACATAAAGTAGGGATTAAAGTTCATTTTTCCTCTGATTTGTTTGCCCAGTCATTCCACCATTATTTGTTAAAAAGACTTTCGTTATTGATTTTTATTGGTGCCTTTGTCAAAAACAAGTTGACCATGTATGTGTGGATCTATTACTAGACTTTTTATTCTGTAAGGATTGGTTTTTCTTTTTTCAGTTACCACACTACCATAATCAATGCAGCTTTAAGGTACATCTTGACATAAGGTAGTAAAGTCCTCCAATTTTGTTCCCTTTTCCAAGAGTGTTTTAGTTATTCTAAATCCTTTGCATTTCCATATAAATTTTAGGATCAATTTCTCAACTTCTAAAAATAATGTTAGGTTTTATTCTAGGATTGTGATAAACGTATAGCTTAATTTGATAGAATAAATATCTTTTAAAAATTGAGTCTTCCAATCTGTAAACATGGTAGTCCCCTCCATTTAAATAATTTTTTAAATGTTTCTTTCTGCAATATTTTGGAGATTTTGGTATTGAGGTCTTCTACATAGCATTTTTCTAGTCATCTAATTCTTTTTTGATCTGTCTAGTTCTTGTTTCCATTTTTAAAAGTGGAGTTTTGAAATTTCCAACAATTATTGTTATATTTCTCTTTTTGATCATGTTAGATATTGCTTCAGATATTTTTGTAACTGTTTTTTGGGACATGTATGTTCATAATTACTATATGATCTTGATTGACACTTTTATCATTATAAAAGCTCCCTCTTTATTTCTAGTGGAATTTTGTTTGCTTTAAAATCTATTTTTTAAATGGTATTAGTAATGTAACTTCAGTTTTCTTATGGCTGTTGTTCATATGTTCTTTTTCCATTCATTTTCAACATATTTACATCTTTAAATCTAATATCTCTCTCATAGACAGCATATAGTCAGATCTTGACTTTTAAAAAGAAATCTCATAAACTATGTCTTTTGATTGGATTGTTGGGATTAAACAATAGTTTAATAGTTGGGCTACACTTGTCCTTTTCCTTTTGGTTTTCTCTGTCTCTTTTCTTATTCTGAGCCACTAATCCTCTTTTACTGCTTTGTTTGGCATTAAGTAAATATTTTCTTGTGTAGCATTTCATTCCTTTAATTAATCTTTCACCATATATTTTGGAGATTTTCTAGTGGAAAAAGTTACCATATACAT